TTGTGCCAAGAAATCTGGTGAACAACAACGTGGGCAACTGACTGGAAGAGATCTATATTTGTTCCCATTCCAAAGAAAGGTGACCCAACAGAGTGTGGAAACTACAGAACAGTACCACTGATTTCACATGCATGCAAGATTCTACTGAAGATTATCCAAAAATGACTAGAACAGCACAACAGCAGAGAACTGCCAGAAGTCCAGGCTGGGTTTAAAAGGGGTCCTAATACAATACGGTTGGCAGAGGATAGAGCAGGGTTTAGGGCTGTTGTACATAGGGTCGCTGTGAGTCGCAAACGACTCGACGGCACATAACAACAACAACAACAGGACTAGGGATATTGTAGCTAATGTTAGATGGATCTTAGCTAAAAGCACGGAATACCAGAGGAATGTATATCTGTGTTTCATTGATAACGCAAAGGCGTTTGCCTGTGTGGATCATAACAAACTGTGGCTGACTCTGAGAAGAATGGGAATCCCAGAACACTTGATTGTGCTAATGCGAAACCTATACTTGCACCAAGAGGCAGTCGTCAGAACAGAGCAAAGAAACACTGCATGGTTCAAAACTGGGAATGGCGTACGCCAGGGATGTGTCCTATTCTCCATACCTTTTCAATCTGTATGCAGGACAGATTATCTGGGAGGCTGGGCTCTCTGAGGAGAAATGTGGGGTCAGGATTAGTGGAAGATCAACAAACTGCATTATGCAGATGACACAAACTTGCTTACTGCAGATACTAGTGGTCATATTTAATTTCTTCACTTTTATCTTTAGTGATTGGAAGAAAACCCTGAACTTAAAAGTCATACCAACAACTGTTCTTTGTACATGTATGGATATTACCCTTTCACGCAAACAGAACAAAGGGATATTGCATGGTTTAAAATAAGGAAAGGTGTGTATCAATCAGGGTTGTGTCTTTTCACATCTATGCAGCCTGTACGCTGAGCACATAATTCAAAAAGCTGTACTCTAAAAAGGATGTAACAATCTTTCTTGCTCAAAGTGAAGGTTACTTGAAGTACTTACTGAATGAAGATCAAAGCCTACTGTACGTAGTCAATATCTCAACATCAAAAAAACAAAAATTCTAACAACTGGATCAATAAACAACATCATGCTAAATGGAGAAAAGGCTGAAGTTATTAAAAATTTCATTTTACTTGG